AATACCTTGACCTGTCTATTTTCCAAAAATGGGTGATTTGGGGAGTATTTGTACTGTCCTGGTGTTTTTGGGCCTTAAGAAATGAGATGAGCTGTCAGTACATCAGGATTGATCAATTGTCAAATATATATACCTGGTTTGTGGACTCTATAACTTTCCTACAGACTAAATAATATACACTAATTTGGGGTATTTTCACCAAAGAAATGTAGCAGAATACATTTTTACCTAAATTTATGAAGAAATGTTATTTATATGCAAAATTTTATAACAAAAACAAAGAAAAATGTGGGTTTTTTTTTTCAAAAGTTTCAGGGTTTTTTTGTTTTATTTAGCAAAAAATAAAAAACTCTGTGGTGATTAAATACCCACAAAAGAAAGCTTTATTTGTGTGAAAAAAATGATAAAAATTTCATATGGGTACAGTGTTGCATGACTGCGCAATTGTTATTCAAAGTGCGACAACGCTGAAAGCTGAAAATTGGCCTGGGCAGGAAGGGGGTAAAAGTGCCCAGTATTGAAGTGGTTAAAATCAAATGTTACTAGCAAAAGACAATTTTCGAACAACATTCGTCCATTGACAGAGGGAGCAGGAAGCCTTTGGAAACTGGATGCTAGGAAAAAAGATATTACAATCTGGAGAAATAGCCTGAATGTGAGCCACCGTTTAAATGTCTTGGGATCAGCCAGGGCCCTTTGTAGTCCTCCAAGCTGATTCTTGGGGAGAGGAGGCCGGGGTGGAGTTGTCCCAGTAGTGTCAACTAAGGCTCTGTCACTCCAGGAGAGTTCCAGTAAGCCTCTAAAATAACACTGACTCCATAGTCAGATTTAAGCCTTGAATGGTAATTGGGCAAATGACCCTAGTGACACCAGCTGATTTAGTGGGGGGAGCAGCTGGTGAAGTCTCAGAAGAGAAGTCCTGTCCTCAACACCCTCCATTGTTGCTTAGTGGAAAAAAGGGGTCGAAGAGCATCTGGCGAGATAGAGGGAAATATTCTCAAAAAATTACGTTGATGTTGGATGTGCTAAGAGTGCGCAGCATTGGATCTTGCTGCAGGAACACAAACCCCTTGGAGAAAGAGTTAGATATACAGTATACCCCTGAGTGACTTAGAAGATCTCTGTTGACAGCTAGCTGAGTTGGAGAAGTCTGGAAACATCCATGAATATAGGTGCCCTTATGCTTCCCCTATAGTGGTTGTGAGAAAGAAGAAAGGGTCCCTTTGAATGTACATTGATTACAGAACACTGAACCAAAGGACAATACCTGATCAATACACCATTTCTCACTTAAAGGACGGTCTCCATTGCCTATTTGGGGCAAAATTGTTCAAGTGTCTTAGATTTCAAAACTGGATACTATCAGATCCCAATGCACCATGATGAAAGAGAAAAGAGCATTCATCTGTCCCCTGGGTTTTTTTGAGTTTAAAAGAATGCCTCAAGGGCTGTCAGGCAGCACCTGCCACTTTCCAGAGACTAATGGGGTGTACAGTGGGAGACATGAACTTGATACAAATGTTGGTGTATCTAGCTGGCTGCTTTGTCTAGGTTTCATTTCAGCCTGAAGTACCTGCAAGAAGGAAATTGAGACGCAGATGCCCTATCAAGTAGACCTCATATTTCAAATGCTCCCCCAAGACACTGGACTCAATTAACACCAGAGGGGTACAGGCAATATGTTATGGGATTAAGCATTACCATAGAGGGGCAGCCGGGGCAGAAGCTGTCAATGGTTCCATAATCTGCTGGGACCTGTCACGTGGGAGGGAGGACAACTTCCACTTCCGTTCGTCTAGGTGAGGGCAGTGGAAGTGGAATTGGGAGCGGGTACATGTCAAAATTGGATACCAGCTCCCCTCCCCCCCATTCCCCAAAGGTACCAATCTTTAATGGGGAGCGGATGATGAGGCCTTAAAGTGAAACTTCCCCTTTTGGGTGGAGCTCTGGAGAGATCAAAGTGAAATCCCACTCAGTAACCTGATCTTGAAGGTCCTAACTAAACAGGACCCTAACCTAAATACAGAACAGAATAAAGAATGGAAACGGTTGCAGCTATGGGACAAAATAATTTATCAAAATGGCCAAGAGACAACACTGATAGCTCTGCATGATGACCACAGACATCTAGGACCAGAGAGAACTTTTAAATTAGTCAAAGATCGGTTCTACTGGCCTTCTATAAGGGCTGAAGTGCAGTGTTACTACCATTCTTGTTTCTGGTGCATCCAGAGAAAGACCTTACCAAGCAGAGCAGCCCCAATGGGCCATCTTCAGAGTCAAAGGCCAATGGAGTTTGTGTGCATTGACTTTCTGTGTCTGGAACCACAATCAAGTGGGCAAGAAAATGTTCTGGTCATGATCGACCACTTCACTCTGTAAGCCCACACTTTCCCAACCAAAGACCAGTAAGCTATCATAGTGGCCTAGTGGCCAAGTGTTTTTGAACTATGGTTTGCTGCAGTGAATACATGTGGACCTAGGAACAGACTTTGAAAGTAAACTCATCCAGAGACTATGTTAGCTACTAGGCATTCAGAAGTCCAGGACCACCCCACTCACAGGGAGACCCCCAGCCAGAACAGTTCAACTGCACTCTACTAAATACACTATATTGGGACACCCCTCCAAATCATTGCATTCATGTGCCCCAATCACCTCCATAGCCACAGGTGTATAAAATCAAGCACCTAGGCATGCAGACTGCTTCTAAAAACATTTGTGAAAGAATGGGTCGCTCTCAGGAGAATTTAAGCGTGGTACCGTGATAGGCCTCAATTATATTAAAGGAATAAAGCGAGCGCTAAATTGTGATAGCAGCAAATGCACTGAGGTAAAAATCCCAAATCCTTCAAATAAAATATACAAAATAAAAAGTGCAGCGCTAAAAAATTTAAATTCATGAATATCTATAAAGTTTTATATCTTTTATATCTATAAAGTTTTTTAAACTGATAATGATAATGCCCAATAAATGATAATTTAGTTAAGAGTTCATAAAAACCTCTGGGCAAAACGCACCGTAATTATACCTGCGTTTATGTCATAAAATAAGCTTTGATAAGCATATAAACAAACACAGTTCATCAAACAGGTCTCCTGATGACACTAATACTCCCAATGGACTTGATATTCTCAGGTGGTGCAGGAAATTAATAAAATGCACACTCACTGGATGTGCTTAGAATAAGCACGTTGTATCATATATTTTTTTTATAGTAAATGGCATTTTCCAGCTGCCTCTGGCCTTCTTGTATGTATTTGTTTGTATCCATCACAACAACTGCTCCCCCTTTATGCTCCCCCTTTATCCGCTGGTTTGATGGTGATGGCCTGATTATTACGCAAATCATGTATAGCCCTTCGCTCTAGTGGTGAAAGATTGTACAGCATTTTCTTTTGCTGGGTGGATATCAGGGATGTAGCTCGCAATCTGAAGCTATCAATATAGGTGTCCAGTTTGGGGTTGCGTCCTTGTGGAGGTGTGAAGCAGCTGTTCTTTTTCTTTGTGTAGCACTCCATTGTCCTAGGATTCCTTTCATTATTGTGGAAATATTCTTTGAGCCTTAGTGTCAGGAATGGACTCAGCACTGGTGGTGGGACTCACCTGCCGTGTGGGCTGCAGTACCAGGGCTGGCCAGTGGGTGCTCTCAGCAACCAGAAGCTCACTCCTGCAATCAGCCATCACCTGAAGCTGATTGCAGGAAGTGTATTTAAGGAATGGCCAGACCTGCAGTCAGGGCCTTGGTGTATGTTTCCCATGAGCCCCCTGTACCTTGTATCCTGTGTTCCTGTTCTTCTGACTATCTGATTTGTTGATGACGCTGCCTGATCCTGACCTCTGCTGACTTCTCCTGCTTGATCCCTGGCTTGCCTGACCATCCTTCTGCCTGATCCTCTGTCCGCGCCGCGCTGCCCGTGAGTTACTGAACCCGGCTTGTGACCCTGACTATTCTCTGCCTGCTCCTTCGGTACCTCGCTGCCCGCACATTGCTGACCTGGCCTGCCTGACTATGCCTTACGCTACCCAGACGATCCATCCATCCTGCACGGATCCAGCCATCCCTACTCACACCTTCTGCCTCTTCACATCAGGCTTCCTACCTGCATATACCTCTGGCGGATCCCTGACATTACACCAAGGCCAGTCCTGACCAGAAGTGGCTGCACAGGGAAGCCATCTTGGCTTATTGTTGTGAAGGATGCATCCTGAGGAGGTTATATACTTTTGTCTGCTAGTCTTTTATGACAGAGATTATGCCTATCAGACTCTGAAGGAGTATACCAGGGATCAACTGCTAGAATGCATACGGATCGCTCATTTTCTAGTGGATCAGGGCACAGAGTTCTCTGAGGTGCAGCCATTGATTCAGGTTTGTGCAGAGTGGGCTTCATCTGGTGCCCCTGAGGGAAGGGATGACTTTTTGCCGCCATTTAGTGCAGACCAGGTAGAGTCCCTGGTATGGTTATCAGAGGATGATGTGGATTGCTTCTTGGAGCATTATTCTGCATGTTCACAACAGGTGCTTATGGATTGTATAAACGCAGTGCAGTCTTTGACCAGACGGGCTTTGTGTAAGCTGAGCTTTGTTAAGCCGGTACTGCAGACATGGTCGGATTTGTTACATCTAGCCTCAGTCAGCTTGCAACAACCCAGTCCTGCTTCTAACCATTACTCTGCTCAAAGCTCTCTTCCTCCAGTTCCCACAGCACCCCCAGTGACAGCCCAGTATACCCTACTAGCTACCACATGTCAGTCCCCTGCTCCCACTCGCTGAACCTATCCTGCCTTTTACCCTGTAGAGAAGCCCTGTGTAGCAACTGCTCCCTCCTTTGTTCCATCCTCCGTCTCTTCCCTGTCTTCAGCTGCTCCATCCGTTTACAGACCTGCATTTACTTACAGTGATCCAGTAACTAAACCCAAGAAGAAGCGAAAATTCTTTCCAACCAGTACCATCCTACCAGTATCCAAACCGGTCAGCCTGCTGTCTGAGGACCTGCCTTCTGTTGTCCAGCCTGATGCCCTGATGCCTGATGACCCGATCCGGCCTGATGACCCGATCGGCCTGATGACCCGATCCAGCCTGATGACCCGATCCAGCCTGATGACCCGATCCAGCCTGATGACCCGATCCAGCCTGATGACCCGATCCAGCCTAAAGACCCGATCCAGCCTGATGACCTGATCCAGCCTGATGACCCGATCCAGCCTGATGACCCGGTGTTTGTGATCGGTGCCCGCTGTCAAGCTTGGTGACCCGGTGCCCGCGGTTCTGCCAGATGACTCGGTGTTCGCTGTCGTGCCAGATGACTCGGTGCCCGCTGTCGAGCTTGGTGACCCGGTGCCTGCGCTTCTGCTAGATGGCTCGGTGCCCACTGACGTGCTCAATGACTCCGTGCACGCTGACGTGCCCGGTGGCTCCGTGCCCACTGTCGTGCCAGATGACTTGGTGCCCGCTGTCGTGCCAGATGACTCGGTGCCCGCTGTCGAGCTTGGTGACCCAGTGCCCGCGGTTCTGCTAGATGGCTTGGTGCCCGCTGATGTGCCCGATGACTCGATGCCCGCTGACTTACCCGGTGGCTCGGTGCCCGCTGACTTTCCCGATGACTCGGTGCCCGCTGTCGTGCCAGATGACTCGGTGCCCGCTGTCGTGCCAGATGACTCGGTGCCCGCTGTCGTGCCAGATGACTCGGTGCCCGCTGTCGTGCCAGATGACTCGGTGCCCGCTGTCGTGCCTCTGCCCGCTGCCCAGCCTGACGTGCCTCTGCCCGCTGCCCAGCCTGACGTGCCTCTGCCCGCTGCCCAGCCTGACGTGCCTCTGCCCGCTGTACAGCCCGATGTGCCTCTGTCCGCTGCGCAGCCTGATGTGCCAGCCCCTGATGTCCAGCTAAACTGCCCAATAACTGATTCCCAGCCTGCTCCTGGAAATCCTGTGTCCAGCGACCTGCCTTCCTGGGTTCCCCTACATAAAGAGAAGTCTGCCAGCAGGAAACCCAGCCAGCCGGTTGACCCCGGCAGTAAGATATCCAGCCAGCTACCTGACCCGGGCGGTGGAACATTTTGCCCACTAAGGACTGTTTGGAGCGCCTGAGGCCGCTCCTTGAAGGGAGGGTACTGTCAGGAATGGACTTGGCACTGGTGGTGGGACTCACCTGCCGTGTGGGCTGCAGTACCAGGGCTGGCCAGCGGGTGCTCTCAGCAACCAGAAGCTCACTCCTGCAATCAGCCATCACCTGAAGCTGATTGCAGGAAGTGTATTTAAGGAATGGCCAGACCTGCAGTCAGGGCCTTGGTGTATGTTTCCCATGAGCCCCCTGTACCGTGTATCCTGTTCTTCTGACCATCTGATTTGTTGCCGACCCTGCCTGATCCTGACCTCTGCTGACTTCTCCTGCTTGATCCCTGGTTTGCCTGACCATCCTTCGGCCTGATCCTCTGTACCGCGCTGCCCGTGAGTTACTGAACCCGGCTTGTGACCCTGACTATTCTCTGCCTGCTCCTTCGCTACCTCGCTGCCCGCACGTTGCTGACCTGGCCTGCCTGACTACGCCTTACGCTACCCAGACGATCCATCCATCCTGCACGGATCCAGCCATCCCTGCTCACACCTTCTGCCTCTTCACATCAGGCTTCCTACCTGCATATACCTCTGGCGGATCCCTCTACCACGAGCAGGTGTACTCAGGGGCCGCAACCTGGTTCCTGTCTGCTCCAAGTCCATCCCCACCATCAGGGGCCCTGGTGAATAAGCAGACTGGGACTTAGACTCCGCGCCCTGGGGAATCCTGTCCTGAGGACTGCTAGGGGTATCACCAGATGGTCGTTAACAGAACCATATGGCCGGCCTGACCCTTCTGCCTCTCCAGCCCTGACTGCGCCTGTGTTCCTGCACATACTAAGATTAGTGGAAGGTTGGTTTATTTACTGAGCGTTGTATATTTGGGTAGCTAATAATAAATTATATTATTATATCATTCCTGAAGCCTGTTACTTCCCTGTGTCAGTCCACACATTTCTGGTCATACCCGGATCCCTGACACTTAGTCTCCTGAAGAAATCCTCCATATCTGACAATAATTGTAAATGATCCAATTTGGTGGTTGGGCAGAATGTAAGGCCTTTGGAGAGGATGGTTAATTCTGGTTCAGAAACTTTATGATTTGACAAATTGATGATTCCAAGTTCCTCTGTTATATCCACATTTTCAGTCAGGTCAGCATTTACACAAGGGATCCCTTGGGATTCCAGATTAGATTCCAGGTCACTGATGGTAAGAGGTATAGATGTTGGGTTGCTTTTATGTTTAGGTTGTTTTCAAAAGGTCTGCTCTTGGTGCAGCTTCTGAAATTTTTTTTGTTCGTCTTTGTAAAGTTTCCAATTCATTCTTGATTTGGTTAATGTTGGTAGGGTCCAATGATGTTAGGGTTTCAAACAAAGACTGCTCTTGTATCCTGATAGTTACCCTTTTTCCATACAGCTTGTGAATGAGATGATTCCTTAATCTCTCGCTGGTGCGTCTGCAAAGTCCTTCTGCTTAAGGAGAGTTGATTGTATTTATGCAAGGATTTTTAATCCGGATGCCTTGTGGTATGAGATTCCTCTTTTTGCATCTTGAGAGAAAGAAAATATCACTGTTGATCTGTGTTTCCTTTGTGATTAGGTTGGTTAACTGCTTCTTTATGTGGCTATATGCAGTATCTTCCATTTTGCTTGAGGTGATTGTAGCCATATTAGTGCATTTGCGACAGAAACAATTGAGTACTGTCCGTGATACTTTTTTTATTTGCACTAACATACAATTTTGAGGACAAGCTTTCGGGGTATGTCCCCTTCTTCAAAGTCCAAGCAGTACTACTACAAATCACAAAGTTTAAGCAGAATGCTAGAAGGGATGAAAAAAAAAGGCTACAGATAAGATACAGCAAAAGGAAAGGGGGAGGGGGGGATACTACACTCACACAGAGGGAGTCAAGCTAGCTAATAGTCATAAAGCTGTAGGATAAGCTTTTTTTTTTTTTTTTTTTTTTTTTTCATCCCTTCTAACATTCTGCTTAAACTTTGTGATTTGTAATAGTACTGCTTGGACTTTGAAGAAGGGGACATACCCCGAAAGCTTGTCCTCAAAATTGTAGGTTAGTGCAAATAAAAAAAGTATCACTGACAGTACTCAATTGTTTCTAGAAGAATTTAAAACCTATATATAAAAACCTTAAAGAGGAAAATCCAGTGCTAACAACGAGACTTGAAGACTATGAGAACAGAGCTAGACACTCCAATCTGCACAACAGGGGGATCCCTGAATCCGTCACAGATCTGCAAGCCATCATGTTGGCCCTATTTCAAGAACTACAACCCACCATTCCAATTGAATGCTTGGAACTGGAGAGGGTCCATAGAGCCTTAACACCCAAAAAACAGACAGCCCTCCCCAAGACATAATAGTCAAATTTCATTATTACCGCATTAAAGAACAGCTTCTGAATGTGGCTTGGGGGAAAGATACACTAAACTTCCAGGGTCACAACTAACAACTCTTTGCGGACCTGTCCCAACTAACTATCACCAAAAGAAGAGCTATGAAACCTCAGCTTCAGGTCCTTCAATGCCATCAAATTATCTACCAATGGGGATTTCCCTTTTCTGTGCGGTTCACACATTGTGGCTCTAAATACGTCTTTTGCTCTGTTGAGGAGCTGCAAAGCACTCTACAGGCTCTCCAACTAGCGGATCAATTTCCATGCTCTGAGGGCATGCAGCGCAGTTCTGTCTCCAGCTCACCACACAAGCCTACAGTTTCCCCAGGGAGTGCAGTCGACAAGGTCTCTACAAGCGGGGGCAATTCAACTCCCCTGCTGTCAGGAATGGACTTGCCAGTAATGGTGGGACCCACCTGCCTTGTGGGCTGCAGTACCAGGGCTGGCCAGCGGGTGCTCCCGGCAATCAGAGACTCAACCCTGCAGCCAGCCAAACACCTGAAGTTGATCATGCAGGTGTATTTAAGGGATGGCCAGACCTGCAGTCTCTGCCTTGGTGTGTGTTTTTCCTGGGCCCTGTATCTTGTTCCTGCATCCCTGTTCCTGTATCTGTCTGATTTGTTGCTGACCCTGCCTGATCCGGACCTCTGCTGACTTCTCCTGTTTTATCCCTGGCTTGTGACCCCGACCATTCTCTGCCTGACCCCCTGTACCTACCTGCCCGATTGTTATTGACCCGGCCTGCCTGACGACGCTTGCATTTTATGTACTGTTATCTGTGGGTGGTTTGGTTTGGTTCGTTTGCACTGTGTTATGTTTTAGTATTGCACTGCGTTTGTTTGTATTGTTAGTCTTTAATAAATTATATTGTTTATAACTTATCTGAAGCCTGCGTTTCCCTCCGTAGGTCACATACCTCTGGTCACACCCCGGAGCCCTGACATTACACCAAGGCCAATCCTGACCAGAAGTGGCTGCACAGGGAAGCCATCTTGGCTTGTTGCTGGGAAGGATGGATCTGGATGAGGTTGTGTATTTATCTCTGCTAGTGTTTGATGACAGAGAATATGCTTATCAGACTCTGAGGGAGTATACCGGGGATGAACTGCTAGAATGTATACGGATCGCTCATCGCCTAGTAGATCAGGGCACAGAGTTCTCTGAGGTGCAGCCATTGATTCAGGTTTGTGCTGAGTTGGTTTCATCTGGTACCCCCGAATGCAGGGATGAATTTTTGCCCCCATTTAGTGCCGACCAGGTATGGTCCCTGGTATGGTTATTAGAGGATGATGTGGATTACTTTCTGGAGTGTTATTCTGCATGTTCACCACAGGTACTAAGAGATTGTATAAACGCAGTGCAGTCATTGACCAGACAGGCTTTGTGTAAACTGAGCTTTGTTCAACCCATACTGCAGACATGGTCAGACTTGTTGCACCCAGCCTCAGTCAGCTTACAACATCATTCCTCCGCTCAAGGCACTCTTCCTGCATCCCCGACAGCACCCCCAGTGACTGCCCAGTATACTCTAACTACCACATACCAGTCCTCTGCTCCCACTTGCTGCACCTATCCTTTCTTTAACCCTGTAAAGAAGTCCTCTGTAGCAACTGCTCCCTCCTCTGTTCCATCTTCCAGCTCTTCTCTGTCCTCAGCTGCTCCATTTGTTTGCAGACCTGCGTTTACTTGCAGTGCTCCAGTAGTTAAAACCAGAAAAAAGCGAAAATTCTTTCCAACCAGTACCATCCTGCCAGTATCCAAACCGGTGAGCCTGCCGTCTGAGAACCTGCCTTCCGTGGTTCAGCCTGGTGCCCCGGCACCCGCACTTCAGCCTGATGTCTCTACCCAGCCTGATGTCTGTACCCAGCCTGATGAACTGATCCAGCCTGATGATCCTATCACGCCTGATGACCTAGTGCCCGCTGTCGAGCCAGACGATCCGGTACCTGATGACCTGGTGCCCACTGTCATGCCTGGTGACCCGAGGCCCGCTGTCATGCCAGACGATCCAATGCCTGATGACCCAGTGCCCGCGGTCATACCTGGTGACCCGATGCCCGCTGTCGAGCCAGACGATCCAATGCCTGGTGACCCGATGCCCGCTGTCATGCCTGGTGACCCGATGCCCGCTGTCGAGCCAGACGATCCAGCGCCAGATGACCCGGTGCCCGCTGTCATGCCTGGTGACCCGATGCCCGCTGTCGAGCCAGACGATCCAGCGCCAGATGACCCGGTGCCCGCTGTCGATCCAGACGATCCGGTACCTGATGACCCAGTGCCTGCTGTCATGCCTGGTGACCCGATGCCCGCTGTCGAGCCAGACGATCCAGCGCCAGATGGCCTGGTGCCCGCCGCCCCACCTGGGGGCCCGATGCCTGTCGCTCCGCCTGGGGGCCCGGCGCCCGCTGCTCCACCTGGTGGCCCGGTGCCTGCTGCTCCGCCTGGTGATCCGGTGTCCAGCTCGATGTGCCTCTGCCCGGAGTCCTGCCCGGAGTCCAGCTCGATGTGCCTCTGCCCGGAGTCCTGCCCTGAGTCCTGCCCGATGTGCCGCTGCCCGGAGTCCAGCCCGGTGTGCCGCTGCCCGGAGTCCTGCCCGGTGTGCCGCTGCCCGGAGTCCTGCCCGGTGTGCCGCTGCCCGGAGTCCTGCCCGGTGTGCCAGTCTTTGATATCCCGCCAGTTACCAGACCCGGGCGGTGGAACATTTTGCCCAGTTAGGACTGTTTGGAGCGTCCTGAGGCCGCTCCTTGAGGGGGGGGGGGGTACTGTCAGGAATGGACTTGACAGTAATGGTGGGACCCACCTGCCTTGTGGGCTGGAGTACCAGGGCTGGCCAGCGGGTGCTCCTGGCAATCAGAGACTCAACCCTGCAGCCAGCCAAACACCTGAAGTTGATCATGCAGGTGTATTTAAGGGATGGCCAGACCTGCAGTCTCTGCCTCGGTGTGTGTTTTTCCTGGGCCCTGTATCTTGTTCCTGCATCCCTGTTCCTGTTCCTGTCCCGGTCTCTGTCTGATTCGTTGCTGACCCTGCCTGATCCAGACCTCTGCTGACTTCTCCTGTTTTATCCCTGGCTTGTGACCCCGACCATTCTCTGCCTGACCCCCTGTACCTACCTGCCCGATTGTTATTGACCCGGCCTGGCTGACGACGCTTGCATTATATGTACTGTTATCTGTGGGTGGTTTGGTTTGGTTCGTTTGCACTGTGTTATGTTTTAGTATTGCACTGCGTTTGTTTGTATTGTTAGTCTTTAATAAATTATATTGTTTATAACTTATCTGAAGCCTGCGTTTCCCTGCGTCAGTCACATACCTCTGGTCACACCCCGGAGCCCTGACACCTGCCCAGCACCAGAAGACTCAATGGATTGACGCCCAGACCACAAACCCACAGGGACTCTGTTTTCTCGCTAATGGGAGACAACACAACACCTGCTGATCTAATACACCACGTCCTGTCAATGGACTCCTTGCTCCCGCAAGTATACCATATATGACTTACGTAATAGTTAGTGATGCTTGCTTGATGACCTGTAATCTACAAAATGCATTGCCCACCTTTGTGGGCTGATAACCATGATGTTGATGGGTTTCAAGTAATATTTTCCACAGACTACAAAGTTTTGTCTGAAAATTGTATGTCTTTTTTCTGTTTTATTTGCCCATCAGTTCCTGCTCTTTCAGGTATTATATCAAAATGCATATCTGATTGGGTTTTGTTTATCGATGTTTACAACTGACTGTTGGTGGTTCTCACCTTGAGTTTAGAGGGTTTACCAGACTCTGCTGCCCCAATCCCCTTAAATTTCTATCCATGTCCCCTCCCTTACTCTAACCTACCTCCCTTTCTGGGATCCTTCCCTATATTTTCCTCAGAAGCAGCAGAGTCAGGAACCCATTCTTGGGCTCTCGAAGCTTGGTTTTATAGGAAACATAACAGATGATCCTTGTGTCCTCAATCTGCTGCTCTTGGCTGTCCACGTCAACAAGTGTATTCCTGATAGTAGCCTCTCTGCCTTTGGTGGGATACTAGGTCTCCCCCCAATTGGTCCCCATAGGTGGTTATACATTACATTTTTCATATTGTATTATTGTTATTTCTCTGCACTTTTCCTCTTTCTAGTCTACTACCTCTCTCTGTCCCTTAAGCTTGACAATTTTTCTCCCTCGGGATGCTGAGACTCAATTGTCAACCCTACTATTGTTCATATTTATGCCCTTGCAACCTACACCATGGCCCCCCTAAACATTCTTTCCCTGAATGTACAGGGACTTAATATTCTGAACAAATGAACTAAGACCTTCTGTTCCTTTGCTGCCACGAAAGGACATGTGCTCTGCCTACAGGAAACACATTTCTCCACAAAAGCCACTGCCAAATTTTTTAGCTCGCAATACGCCCAGGTCTTTATGGCCTCCGCCTCCATCAGGAAATAAGGCATTCTTATCGCTTTCCACCAAACCACAGTTTTCATTCTCTTAACTGAACTTAAGGACCCGGAGGAATGATACATTATCCTTACGGGCCAGCTCATGGATTCTGCAGTAATGATAGTCTCATACTATGCACCCAACAAGCAGCCTACATCTTTTCTCTCTCACCTCCTACAAGTGGTCACTTCCCACAAGTTTGGCACTCTTATATTATGTGGGGACTCAAACTAAGTCCCCTTTCCATTCCTAGACAAATCCCCTCCCTCCCCATCTACCAGTCCTACAAAACTGTCTTTCAACCAACTCCTAGCTAAACATAATTTAGTCAACTTTTGGCATGAAATGAAACCAGCCAAAAAACGCTACACCTATTACTCTCACCCACACAACATTTCCGTGGATCGATCACATCTTTCTAATGACAGGTATAGTCCCAGAAATGTCCCCTATCCCCAAGGTACAAGATTGCACTCGGTGCCTCAACGAATCTATGTTGAAGATCCCATCTCACCGTTTGGATATTGAACTTGCGCTCAAAGACTACATAGCACATAATACCTCTCCTGACATCTCCCCACTTACCCTGAGGGAAGCATATAAACCCGTCATTCGTGGGGTATTTATTTGCCAAACAGCATACTTTAAACACGACCAAAAAGTCCTATGCCACAAACTGTAATCCAACTTTAATATCTGCTATGCTGCATTCCAAGCCACCCCCACTCCAACCACAAAACTACAACTGGAGAAAGCTAGGCTGGAATTTGACCTATTCTTTACTGAATTGGATGATAAAACCATTCAGCGGAGTTGGCATGCCTATTATATGAAAGCTAATAAACGGACACCCCATTAGCCCGTACACTTAACTCACTTAATAAACCTAGCAAGCCAATACGACTTATAGCTTCCAGGGACACCTATACCAGTAACCCAGTCAAAATACTCCACCAGTTCTTTTCCCACTTAACCGGTCTATATAAGCCAGACTGCAAATTAAATACTACTCTGGCTGAGGAATTTTAATCACATATCACTCTGCCGACACTGACCCGAGACTAACATAATCAATTAGATGGCCCAGTCAATGTAGAGGAGGTTGTAGCGGTTATTAAAATCTTAAAGCTGAATAAACATCCAGGGCCTGATGGATATTCAGAAATTTACGGTATTACAAGTCTTTTTCAGAAATCCTAGCTCCCATCCTGACTAAAGCCTTCAATACTTTGTTAGAAGACACTCCTTCAGATCAGAGCTCTTGACCGCTATCATTTGCATGTTACCGAAACCCCACTCCAACGACTCTTCTTGGAAAAATTATCGATCAACTCTCTACTGAATTGGAACATTAAACGTCTGGCCAGAATCCTTGCCGCTAGATTAAATGTGGTAATCAGCAGGCTCATCCACTGTGATCAGGTAGGGTTCATCCCCATTTGTCAGGCCAAAGACAACATTCGCCGAGCAGTGTTGCTTGCCCATGCAGATAAGTCACGCTGGATTCCTTTTTGTTTTCTCTCCCTAGTAGACATAAGGAAAGCATTTGATACCGTATCCTGGTCCTATTTACATTTCACCGTACAGAAATGGGGATTTGGTCCCCACTTTATGCGGTGCCTCTCTGCTCTCTATGACACCCCTAAGGCATATGTGAAATATGACAGCTATAAGTCAGATATATTTGACATTAAGAGTGGCACACGACAGAGCTGCCCTCTCTCCCCCCTACTGGTCACACTACTAATATTTGCCCAGCGAGTGAGAACGGACTCTGCCATTACAGGTATCGAAATAGGTGTCAAAATATGTCTCTTTGCGGATGATATCCTTCTATTCCTCTCGTCCCCACATGCGTCCACTTATAACCTCTTGGCCACACTAAACCAGTTCGCATCTATCTTTGGTCTGTCCACCCTCAAAAATCTACCACATTAAACATCTTCTTATCAGAGATGGAACTCCCTCACTACTGAAGCAAGTATCTGATCTATTAGTGAAATGGTCCTCCCTCCCTCCCTCTCTTGTGGCTAGGTAAAATAAATGTCATTAAGATTACTATACTGCCTAAATTCCTGTACCTGTTTAGGGTATTACCAATACCAGTTCCTGCATACTTGTGAATAATATGGAGGACAGTTGCAACATTTGTCTGGGGAAACATTAAACCTAGGATTCCCAAGGCTACATTATACCTTTCCAAATTGCGTGGAGGTTTTAGCCTTCCTAATTTCTCCTCGTACTACCACACGGCCCATCTGGCCTAATTACCTAAATACCATGCGGTCCGTGAAACACCTCTATAGGTAGCTCTTGAACCAGTCGACTGTGACCCCCTATCTGTCGCCATCCTTTTGTGATTACACCTGGTGGATCACGCTAATATTTATAACCCTGTCACAAAACACTATCTGTCAATATGGGACAAACTAAAGACCACATATGGCCTACAGTCCCTACACAACCACCTCCTTTTGTTCCTTAAAAATCCGACCTTCCACCCAGCGTGGGAAAGTTCGGCATAGTTTTTTTGCATGTAAAATGAAAGTGGCCTCATCCGTTTTTATAAACTCTGTACTGTGACGAGGCTTCACTTTTTCCCCGACCTTATGCGAGACATTTGGACTCCCTCAGTCAGAACTATTCTGATACTTGCAGATTAAACATTTTTACACACCTAACTCACTCAATCACCTCTTCAAAGGTGTCTGCAATCGAGACCCCATGACAGAGGTCTCATTTCTGTACTCTACAATCATACTAGCCACATCTGACGAGGGCACCCCTTCATATGTTCCTAAGTGGGAGAAAGGCTTAGGCCCCACCTTTGACACCGCAGAATGGTCTGAAATTTGTTCTGCGACCAAAGCCTCTTCACCCAACCTGGTTGCGGTTGAAACCAATTATAAGGTTCTTACCAGATGGTATCTAGTACAGGATAGGATTGCGAAATTCACGCCTGATCACTCTGCTCTTTGTTTTCGTGGCTGTTCAGGACTATGTATGCATTTACATATCTGGTGGGACTGTCTAGTGGTCAGACTCTATGGGAAGAATATTTTTGCACTTGCAAAACTGAGCTGAGCTGTTTAAGCTACCTCTTCAGCCAGACCCATCACTTGCTCTCCTTAACCTGAAACCTATGTTAATG